GGTTGCACTTTTACTGTTTTTTGGGCTGTTTTAGTTTTTTTGAAAAAAAATCAGTGTTCGTTATTAAACGGTTTTTTTTATTAAAGAAGCGATTATTACAAGTATGACAATTAAAGACTCATCGTTACAATTAAAATCCAAGAGGAACCAATTCAATAAGAGATAGACTTTCAAAGCCATTCCATAAAACTAATGGGTTTTTAGGCCGTCGTAAAATGGAATTTCTTCCTGACGTTTCGCAAGCTCGAGTGGCTTGCATCTTCAGAAGTGGTTTGCTTGAACGCTTACACTGTTCCGATGCGATTCCTCGGGCGCGTCCGTATTTATGCAACCGCTGCACTCGTGCTTGCGAAACGTCAGGAAGGAGTTCTACCGAACGACGGCCTAAAAACCCGTAAACTCCTTAGCTTCAAGGAATGGCCTCGAAAGTCTGTCCCTTTTGATAAAGTATAAATATCCGGAATTTTGAAAATACCTGGCATTAACCTCATAGCTTATAACCTGATCACGCTTGCAAGCCAAAATTTTGCTATGGAGCTTGAAGTTTTCAATTAGAGTTTCCAAAGATGAAGATTACTACGTTTTCAGAAAGGAATTCACAAGATGGGTCCGGCAACCGGCCGTTCGGTCAGCCCCTGTGTTTAGGGCCCCAGTTAGATAATGGCAATTGTATCGATTTGCCCCCCAAATCGCCGTCCCCATGTGCCCCCAAAGGGAGGCCCACTCTAACCGGTTCGAAAAAATCGCTAACCAAGAGCAATAACTCCAAGAAGTAGAATTTAACGTGAACTTTCCCTAGCACAGTTGCAATTAGTTCGGAATAGTAGTGCTTACCTTAACGGTAAGATAGTGGACGTGGTTCACATGGACCTTTGTTGATATGGAGTAGGAGTATGTTTTTTTATGAATAAACAATGTATTTTTGGAGCACTTCTCGAAAAGCCACCTACAAGTAAGAAAGTTATTTTTTGATTGTTTTTCTTTGTTATTTTTCCGACTGTGATAATAAAGACATTATGAAACATTTGCGTTTATTTCACACAACCTGGACAATATCGCAGACACGTAAGTGTTTTTGCAGGCTTTAGCGGTTTTCTGCCAGCAACTAATTTTGTGTAGGTTTTCTTAAAAAAAAAACATTATTATTTCGACATTGTGCGCCCCCAGATACAAATCCCTCACCACTCCAAGCAGCATTCTAAGCTTTAACTGTACTGCATGGCTTAAAACGATTTATAATCAATGTGCAGAAGTTTGTTCAATGCATGGCCTTTTTGAATAATTGCTTTTAGTCAATTAAACTTCGAATTTTGCCAGCTTATCAGTTCTCTTTGGACTAATTAATATTCCAAGATTAGCGCATCTTTAGAATTAATTTATCCAAAAGTTATAGAATAGAATTGGACTTGAATATTCAATCGCAAAGCGGTTTGTTTTCTTCAACAAATGAAAAAGACTGAAGCTTTGAACGCGGGCGTTGGCAACAGTGTTCAGGTATAGGTACACTTTCAAAATTATATAATTATTATAAAAGTAGAAAACGAAGCAATAGTCTTAGAGCAGATCAGTAAATGGGAAGCTGAAAAAATTGCATTATTCCTTAACCTGATGGCGCATTAGAATCGTCCCTACCACTACAATTCACCAATTTACAAATTGGAAATTTTTGTTTTCATAAGAAATTGTTATTCGTAAACGTTTTTAACTCCTTAGATTTTTGCGAAAAAGAAGCGAGTTTTCTAACGCTTCTTCTAACTACTTCTAACGCTCTTGTTGCCGGTGTTGCATGATTTGCGCATTTAAACWTTGCAAATTTTTGCGTAAATGAGAACTTTTCATTGCTACGCGTTTTGCAGATTTGAAATTTTTGCAAAAAAGCTGAGGTTTTTGAGCAAATTGTTGGAAGAATTGGCGTGTAAATAGTTTAACAAACACCTAATCTGGGCAATTTATTTAAACAAATAAAAAACACTTAAGCTGTGAACGCCTGCGTTAGCTTGACTGCTGAATCCTGGCCAGATTGTTCAAAATGATATATTTATAAAAACAGTAGAAAAACAAGCAATAGCCTTAGAGTAGATCAGTAAATGGGCAGCTAGAAAAATTGCATGATTCATCGACCTGATGGCGAAATATCTCAACTTCACTTGTGTTTCATTTAGGGAATAGCATGAAGCTTCCTTCTTCGAGTTCAGCAATTTTTTGCCCGATGTTTGGAAGCCACAGTGTTGGTCTGTACTGTTAGATTCTGTCAACCATCCAATGTTTTAGATCAATAGAAACATGTTGTTTATGTTAGATTGTTTGGTCAAAACATCGCTAGATGCGCACTGAGAAACTGGAAATCAGACCAGTTTCGAACCGCAGTAGTTTCCGATTTTAGCCAGTTACTATTTTTTATTCTTAGTTTAGCCCTAAGGGGTTTTCTAGCTAAACTCGACAATAAAGTGTTTTGTCTTTAAATTGTCCCCTCGATCATTAGTACAAAAGATCCAGATTCCCAACTTAGACTGCTAACGTGCATGTGTGTGTTGTAGTTTGTGGCGTTTCAAGCCCCGATGTAGACTAGTTTTCAAGCAAAAAGTTGTCTGTTTTAGTAGCTTAGTGAAGCTGTGTTAAGCTTGCTTAAGACAGGCAACTCGCGTGTACTGAAAGTGATTATTAGAACTTGTTGTAAGCAGTTTGAATTCCGATTTAGCGCCCCATTCGCCTCGTCGCCAAAAGCTCAACCTGCGCATGAAGAGCTTGTCGCTGGATTCTCCGGAAAGTACTGAGCACGCCCAGCGACGTCAGCGACATGGAGCTAACGCGGCCAGCGATCCCCATTCTAATCACAGCTCGTCGTCTAAGATTCAGTGTATGGAGGAAAAGTGTTTTTACTGTCGTTGAACGTTCTTGAGTTAACATTTCTGTACTGAAAGGGCCCTAAATGTGTTGGAAAACTACCATTTACGTCTCTTATCCGTACTTTTCCGGACAGTTTAATTTACAGCTTTCTACTTTGCGATTGTCCAATGCACGGCTCTGCTCCACCTTATTGTTGTTTTCTCTGCACTTTTTTTAATCAGTTGTTTTCCGACAGTTTTCTGCGTTTACTAACATGCATGTTTCACAGTTGTTGCAACTACTGTTTCTCCACGGTCTCTTTCAACCCATCCCGCAAGAACCGATTGCAAACCTCAGTCAAGTATGCATTTTCGTTTTCTTATTGCGAATTTTATTCACTAACAGGGCCTAATTCAGACGCGTAAACCTGTTTGGACATGTTTGGAGCAAATCAGCATTGTGCAGGTGTAAAAGGTTTGCGGTTAGGCCCGGTTTGCGAGTAGCATTTTGCAAAAATTGAACGCCAAACGACTGCGCCAATTCTCTTGATTTTGAGACTTTAACGTGTATTTAGCGCCTTCGAGTCCAGTGCACAACCGAAGATTATTATCGGCGAAAAACATCCGAATGTCTTCCGTCGAGCTGCCGGATGAAAATGAGAAAAGTCCCTCATCTGCCAGTACTTCGCCTTGTCCAAGTCCTGTTGGTAAGGTGAGTATTTCAGCAGGAGGCTGATTTGGCAAGGAAATTTGATTCGAAAGGACTTAAAAGGCTAAGGAAGTAAACATTTTGAACATCGTCAATTTCATTGCGTTTCGGCGAGACAACTGCGCCATCATCAGATTTAAAATTTACACAAACTTGAATGAATCAACGTTCTTTTAGGTCTTTGCCTTCTTGAAACCTTAAATTTGTCTTTCGAGAGACAAATTTACGGTTTCAAGAAGGCAAAGACCTAAAAGCACGTTGATTTTTACCAATCATGAGTTTGTGTAAATTTTAAATCTGATGATGGCACAGTTGTCTCGCCGAAACGCCATGAAACAAACGATGTTCAAAATTTTGAATTCACATTTTGACTAAGACCCAGGAAAGATAAGAATATCATAACAAGCTGCACTTTGCCAATTATTTAGCTGAAATTTTGAATACAGAGTGATTCTTTACTAGGGGAAGCTTTTGCGTATAACGAAGTTGTTCAGTCGGGTTCATTCAAAAGAGGGTATGGCCAGGGGCGGATCCAGCTTTAAATTCAGGGATTATGTAGAAAAAATACAGTCTTCTGTTGTCTATGAAATTAGAAGAATTATCGTTGTTTTGTGCAAGGGTGGCGCAAGATTATTGCAAAATTTCATGTTTTCCGTCCCGTTTTGCATGTTTCTCGGAAGCAAAATGAGCAAGAAGGCTCGTTTTTACATCATTTCAAAGAGAACTAAAGGGCCTTTTTAAAAAGTGAACCATCGATAAGGAAATGTTGCAGTTTTCTCAAAAATGGCCCTTAAGAAGAACGGCCGGCTGATGTTTAGGCTCACCCTGTATTAACTAAATTTTTGTCAGAAATCGCACCGATTGTTACCGACAAACCTCTACGTGGTGCTGTACAACTTCAAAGCCCGACATCAGGATGAATTGGACTTAAAGGCCGGCTACAAAGTGACGGTGATCGAGACAACTGATCCCGATTGGTGGAAGGGAAAGTGTTTTGGAAAAACCGGATTTTTCCCTTCCAAGTATGTGTCGAAATTGTCGCCTGGAGAAAAGCCTTTGCAGGTAGGAACCTTAGGAAAATGAAAGTTGCGCGATTAATAAACATACGTCTTTATCGCGAATATATATATTTTTTTCGATAAAAGTTAAAAATAAATACGTATTTGATTCCAAACATTTTTCCTTCAAAATTGGGCAAAAAATTAATTAGATACAATAATTGTTTTTTACTACCACACGGCAACAGCGCACGGAGCCCCGTTCATTAGACATTCGCAACTGTCACGTAACTTGCGCATATTAGCCAACTTGACTCGTTGCTTAAATGACATGCGTAATTGAGTTTGAGGTGACGTTATTCAAAACAAACTTCTATTTACCGAAACGGGTAACTGCAAAAGAGTTATTATATTATATTCGCTGTCTCTACGTAAACATCCGTATGATTGAGTGAATATGATCCAAATGGTTTAGCCAGGATCACACGCAACGTTTTGAGTTGCCATCCTCTAATAATCTATTAATCATCTTTAGACCCGCCCATTTAAATTTGGAAAAATTATAGAAGTTTGATGACAGACGTTTGCTTTGCTTAACGTAACCTCAAACTCACTTGATGACTGATTAATGTTGAGAATGCAGATTTCTACCGAAATTTTCGTGGATTACTTAAAATAATATAACAAATAGTGCCGCCGCCACACACATACCCTCCCTTCTTCCTCCTCCTCTCCTGCTTTCTAGTCTAGTATATGGCTATATACCGTGGATATACATAATTTTAAAATAACACTTAAATAATATTTAAAAAATATTTCCTTTTGCTCTTAAATATTTGCTATTCATGGATCAATGAA